GGAGAGCTCCGAGCTGCAGGAGCAGATGGCCGAGCAGCAGCAGCGCGCCGAGGAGCTGCGCGCGCAGCTGGGCCGCAAGGAGGAGGAGCTGCAGATGGCGCTGGCCAGGTGCGGGGAGAAGGGGCCACTGTGGATCCGCTGGGACGAGAGCGTGAACACCAGGACGCACGCGCACACGAGCGCGCATACACACACACACACACACACACACACTCATTAAGCGCCTGCTGCATGCCCGGTGCGGCACCCGTGTTTACAATGCTTCCTCTGCACTGTGCTTCAGTCTGTGACACCTTTGATTACAGGTGTGGTCTCACACCTGTGATGTGAAAATGAGAACTCCTAGATCCAGAGTGTGCGCAGGCGCGTAAGCACGCGGCCCAAGTTCCACTTCCTGGTTGGAGTCCTGACCCCGCCCCTCTCTGACTACGTGACCACGCCTCATGTGACATCACCTCTAGCCTCAGTTTCTTCATCTGTGAAATGGGGAAGAAACTAAGAAAGTGCTCATCCAGCGGAGTCCATGCCTAAGCCCTGGATAAGTTGTATATTTTTGTTACCGCTTTTCATAATTACTTTTTTTTTTTTTTTGCGGTGCTAGGAATCAAACTCAGGACCTTGCCCTTACTTAGCACGCAAGGCACCGCTGAGCTAATAAAGCCCCAGTTCTTTTTTTTCTTCCCCTTTTTGTTGTTTTTTGGTTTTGTGTGGTACTGGAATGAAACTCACATAAAATCAGCCGTGCAAAGCCCGGGTGTGAGGATGCACTCCTGTCATCTCAGCCCTTGGGGGCTGAGGCAGGAAGAACGCCACAAGTTGAAGCCAGCATGGGCTACACAGCGAGACCTTTTCTCAAAAGCAAGCCAACAACCATGGTAAAGTGAACACAGTTCTAAGGGTTGAGCCCATGCCCGGTGCTGGGAACCACTGCATTCCCGAACATCCTCGTCATCCCCTCACCCGTTAGCAGTCAGTCCACATCAGGGGTGTTCCCAGTTTCAAGCGTGAGCCTCAGTTTCCTCCCTTGGCGCGAGCTTCTACACGCAGTACAAGGGCTTGCGTGCGGCAAGGACTCAGCACCACGCGGGACTCCTGTGGGTGTCGTTCCCGTTTCACAGCCAGGGAAATAGGCTTGGAGGCCTGGAATCGCGTGCCCAGTGTCAGAGCTGGCGTTTGAACCCGGGTCCGGCTGCCCCCAAAGCCCACGCTGGCCTCTCTGCCCGCCGCTGTGCCAACTCCTCGCTCCTTGTCGCTCGCAGGGCGGAGGAGGAGGGCGGAGCCCGGGCCCAGCTGCTCAAGTCCCTTCGCGAGGCGCAGGCTGGC